GGGGAATTAGAACAGGAAGCAGATGCAGCGGCATTTCTGCGGCCCCAGCGGTTACACAGGTAGCCTTTATGATGATGATGTTGCCCTCTGGGGAACCAGGTTGGCCACGCCCTCCTCCCTCCCCACAGTGCTGATAATGGAGAGAGAGCAAAAGCATGTACACTCCTGTGGAGCTGTGCTCAGAAGGGATCTGGGTACTTTCTACCCATTTCCCTCCCCGGAGCCTGTCCCAAGCAAGTAGCTCTGTGCAATTCAAAGGCTGACCTCTTTCACTGCAGCTGGCCCAATAATTGTGTCTAGGACCAATTCAGCTATACCGTTGGGCATTCCAGGCCGTGGGGTGGGTATGGGTGTAGTCTATGCTTTACAGACGTAAGAGCTAGAGCATTAGGAGCTCCCAAAAGAAGGTGTGACCAGCAGGTGGGGTATCAAAGTAAGGCTGTCAAGAGGTGGGTAACTGACTAGTCGTGCAATCGCTACAATTTGTATCGACTACCCGATCAGTCGATAAAGGAATGCGCTGTGTCCCGACTCCCACCAGTCCAGGAGCTACTCCCCACTGAGGCTCTGCAGTTTAAATGTAGCAGAAGCTGGATGCGCAGGCAGCTCGGCTCCTACTACATTTTAACTGCAGTGCTGCAGTAGGAGTAGGTCCCGAACCAGCGCAAGTTGGGACTGCTCAGTCCTGGCTCGAGCTGGGTCCAGCAGCCACAGTTCACAGTGGCCCAGGCTGGCTGCAGGTAAAAGATGTTTTGCGGTAGCTTCCCCTACCCCGCCTCCCCGCTGCTGTCTCTGATAGAGGTAGCCGTGGGGGGGAGGGGCAGGCGGCACTGGTGAGATGGTACTGGGGGAAACCATCTTTTAAGCCAGCTCCACCCAGCACCAGCTCCTGTTTCCCCTCCCGCTCTAGCTGCCTTTCATGCAGAGGCAGCAAGGGGGGCAGGGAAGCGAGTAGTTGAGGACTCAACTACCCGATAAGCTTAAGCTTAGTACTCAACTACTCGCTTACACCCCTATATCAAAGACATTCTCTCTAGGTATTAACCCAGGCCCAACAGCACATGGTCTCTCTGGACTTGTCCACACGGCCACTTGCCTGCACTGTACCTTTCACGCACGGAGGTGTGAAAAAACACCCTTCCCCACCCATGAATGCAGCAAGTTAGCTGCTCCTCTTGTGGAGGTGGTTCACCTACAGCGCTGGGAGAGGTCTCACCCAGTGCTGGTGTCGTGACCATACGGCAGCACTTTAAACTGGGCAGGGTGGACCAAGCCTCTATAATGACACACCCACAGAGCAGCCAGACCAACTTACCCAAGCTCCCATTCACCTCCATGCTCCACCCGCACACATACTTTCCCACGGACCCAAATCTTACAAGAGATTCCCTTGCAAACTGTGTGCTTGCAATGAGTTAAGACTCCATATTCCCAGCAGCCTTGTTTTGCCCATCACTAGAACTCTCCAAGGCCCAGGCATAAGGAAGAACTTGATCGCCATCATGCTACGGCCCTGATCCTGGGAAACACTCCCTCACTAGAACTCTCCAAGGCCCAGGCATCAGGAAGAACTTGATCGCCATCTTCCGCGACATCACGCTACGGCCCTGATCCTGGGAAACTCTCCTACTAGCACAAAGGGGGCCCAGATTGAACCCCAGCGGAACAGAGTTTGGGATTACCTGGTAATGCTCCAAAGCAGTGTTGATAGGATTGCCAGGTGTCCGGTATTGGCCCGGACAGTCCGGTAATTGTGTCTTCTGTCCAGTTAAAAAAAAACCCAGAAAATACTGGACATGTAAAATGTCTGGTATTATCTGTTTGTCTCAGACAGAAGGCCACAGGGGACATTCTTCCCCTGCCACGTCTGGTGGGGGTTGGAGGAGTGTGGGGATTTAAAGGCACAGCGACCTTTTTTTTTTTTTTGGTGCCATCTTTTTTTGTGCTCAACCAATTTTTCTCCCACCATGTTCGGTATTTTGGTGAAACTATCTGGCATCCCTAACTGTTGAGTGCATGCAGCTCCAGCTACACTTCCGGGGCTCAGCTCCTCTCAGAACAAAGCCCTGTGTTAGTAGAAAGCCAAGGGATTGAACTTGTGACCTTAGAGGTTAAAGCCATGTGCCTCTACCACTTGAGCTAAAAGCCTGCTGCCTCTCACCAAAGGCTGTATAACAAACTTCACTCTCCCTTCTGAGTGGTCCCAGTGTCTCTATGACTCCCACTAAAAGTCAGTGGAAAGAAGATTGGGCTGGTCTGAAAGTGAAAGGGCTG